ATTTGAATCACACACCGAAATGCTGAGTCAGATGGTCAGAAGAGGTAGTTTTTAAGAACCATTTTAAAGTAGGAACTAAATGAGGTCTAAAAGTTTTTAAGAATTAATTTCAGAATTCAGGGTCCAGGTTATTGAAGGCAAAGCTGCCAATAGTAGAGAAAAGAAAATCAGTGATGCGTGCAGTCTCACATTGAGCACACAAAGTTATTTTAAACTTCAGAAAATAACTTGTCAAAAGTTGCCATCCTTCTCTTACTAATACACTATCACTCATTGCCAAGATACTTGTTATACAACATGCATTTATTTGGCACCTTTAAAAGACAAGATATTTTGTATGTAATATGGAACTATAGTTTTCAAAGGGCTATAAGCATGTCTTTCCATTAGGAGAGGAAGAGAGAGACAATTGGTTATTTTTTAGCAAGAGGGGAGGCACTCCCCAAGCATGGAATGAGGTGAGAAGGCAGGCATGAACTAACATGAATGTTGTATTTAGTTACTATGGATAGTGAACTGAAGAACGGGGAGTGAACCTGCATTATTGGCTTTAATGTGCATCACAATCAAATCATCCAGCTGTCTGAGCTAACTCAACCCACTGATACATAATGGTAGGAGACCAAAAGCTGGGTCAAAGGGATCAATTTTAAGGAGTGCCTTAATGGAGGAGTCAGAAGCAATAAAGAGAATTTATCTACTTCTACCAAGGTGGAACATCCAGAATGCTGCTTGGAAAGTGCTATGACCATCCCAAAATAGGACATGTGTGGAGTCACAGGGAAAGGCACACTAAAATGAATGGAGGAGCGAAGACAAGCAGGTTTTACTTCCTGACCAACAAATATGGCATTTCTATACTTATAAATCTGCAGGAAAAGGTCAATTAATTCCTGCTTTCTTAAATCTCCTGCTATACAAAAGCCTGATTTGGCCACATCTGGAGTATTGTGTCCAGTTCTGGTCGCCTCATTACAGGAAAGATGTGGAAGCGTTGGAAAAGGTGCAGAGGAGATTTACCAGGATGTTGCCTGGAATGGAGGGAAGGTCTTACGAGGAAAGGTTGAGAGAGCTAGGGCTTTTCTCTTTAGAACGATGAAGGATGAGAGGTGACTTGATAGAGGTATACAAAATGATTGGACGTATAGATAGAGTAGACAGCCATAGATTTTTTCCTAGGGTGGAGGTCTATTACGAGGTGGCATAGTTTTAAAGTGAGTGGAGGTAGATATAGGGGAGACATCAGAGGTAGGTTCTTTACTGAGAAAGTGGTCAGGGCATGGAATGCATTGCCAGGGAGGGTAGTGGAGTCTGCCTCATTAGGGGCGTTTAAGCGGCTATTAGATAGGCATATGGATGATAGTATTAGGTAGGGGTGGAGGTTAGATAGACCTTAGGATTAGGGTAAAAGTTCGGCACAACATCGTGGGCCAAAGGGCCTGTACTGTGCTGTACTATTCTATGTTCTAAACCAATATGCTTCACTTGAGGCTTTTATTGTACCTACTCCTTTAATGTTTGGGTTGCTGTATTTGAAAGATTCTGAAGTGCCTGGACTGTCTCTTTTTCAGTGGTGTTTTGGGTTCTTCTGCTCAGATCATTTGCCTCTGTTCCTGAGCATCACTAAATAAACACTAAATTAACCAAATAAAATCTCAAGTACCATTTTCCACCTTTTTAAAAAAAGAATTGCATTTTTAGTTGTAGAATTTATTTCATACAATACAGTATAATTATCAAATAATTTCTCAAATAATCAGGATGTTCTGAACTCAATTTTTGCCAAAATAAATTACAATGATGTACCTGTTTACTTAAGTAATAATAATAATTTAATCCAATTACTCCTATATCCTCCTGAAATCGCAACACAAAGATCGCAACACAAAGAGGAGTAATGAGATTGTTGAGAGCAGTTAAGGCAATCAAAATTAAATACGAAATATGCACACCATGAAGATCGAAGGCTCTGTTGTCATTATTCAGTCACAAATAGCTGACTATTATAAAGTACTGACCTGACAAACAGTCTGAGGGCTCTTGTGGCACAGTGGTAAAATCCCTACCAATAAACCAGCAGCCCTGGGTTCAAGTCACACTTGGTGTATAACTACATCTCTGAACAGGTTGATCAAACTTAGCCTGCTCCTTTTTACTTTGAAAATATACTTTATTCATAAAAATCTGCAAGTACATATAAAATTTTAAAATCATATCCTTATAGTCTTTGCAGAGATAACAAACAAAACATTGAAATTTTGACATTTCTCAGGGTTTCTTTAGTTACAAAAACTAAGGCATTTTCCACTAATGCAGCAAACTATTTGTGTTCATTCTAAGGCACCAGGAGGGTCTGACAACTGAAAGGACCCCTCATATATAAACTCAGCCTGCTCTAGTATGGAGGTGAGGTCAAGCTGTCTCCACTTATGAAGATGTTCCTGTCTCCCGTGCTCCTTTTGCCTGCTTTTCTAGATGATTCTAACTAATTCTGTGAGCTCTTTTTGCCCACTTAATGTCAGTGACAGGGTGGATTTCTCTGGTGAGGTGCAGAAAGAAACCAAAAAGATTGATGAGGACAGGGTGATAGACATTATTTACGTGGACTTTACTAAAGCCTTTGACAAGGTTCCGCATGGTAGACTAATTAGTAAAGTTAGGTTATATGGGATTCAGGGTGAGCTTGCCAATTGGATACATAATTGGCTTAACATCAGGAGACACAGATTGGTGGTAAAATATTGCTTTTCAGATTGGAGGCCTTTAAGCAGTGGCATTCCACAGGGATTAATTTTGGGTCGTCTTTTGTTTGCCATTTATATAATTGTTTTGGATGGGAATATAGAAAGCATGGTTAGTAAGTTTGCGGATGGCACTAAAATTGGTGACACACAGTGAAAAAGGTTTTCTAAGGTTACAAATCTTGATCAAATGGGTCAATGGGCTGAAAAATGGCAGATTGAGTTCAATTTGGATAAATGCAAGGTACTGCATTTTGATTCAACAAACGGGGGCCTTGGGTAGTGTTGTAGAACAGAGGGACCTAGGGGTTCTGGGACATAATTCTATGAAGTTTGCATCACGTATAGACAGGGTGGTTAAAAAGTCATTTAGTACACTTGCCTTCATTACCCAGTCCTTTGTGTACAGGAGTTGGGAAGTCATGTTGAAGTTGTACAGGACATTGGTGAGGCCTGTTCTGGAGTATTATGTCCAGTTTTGATTGCCCTGTTATATTATTATGTAATTGTAGAGGATTCAGAAGAGATTTACCAGGATGTTGCTGGGAATGAATTATAAAAATAGGCTGAGACTTCTTTTACAGGTGCTTAGAGAGTTGAAGGGTGACAGAGAGAGTTGAAGGGTGACCTTATAGAGGTTTATAAAATAATGAGGGGCATAGATAAGATGAATAGCAATGGTCTTTTCCCTTGGGTAGGGGATTTCAAAAATAGGGGGCACATTTTTAAGGTGAGAGGAGAAAGTTTTAAAGAGGACATGAGGGGCAACCTTTTACACAGAGACTGGTTCATGTGTGGTTTGTATGTCCAAGTAAACAACATCTGTTGCTTTCCCCTCAATGTTTTTGGTTAACATCCTCAAAAAACAATTAATTCAGTTTGTGAGACATGATTTTCCTTGCACAAAACCATACTTAACGATCCCTAACCAATTTTTGCCTCTCTAAAGATTTATAAATCCACTCTCTTGTAGAGTAATTTTGCTTAAAACTTAATGGTGTGACTATTTTAGTTTAAAACTTGAAATTTGGATTTCTTTGCAAAAATTAATGGTCTCCACTATGATTATAACACTTTGAAATATACACAGAACCTACCACTACAATACAATAAGAAATTATCTTTTCTATTTTGAAATAGGTCTGATCAGTTAAGTAAGTGATGGTGTTGACTGGCAAAAGAATCAATTAACTTTTTTTGGCTTTCTTAGGACATGGTCTGTTGAGAAAGCATATTCTTTGAGTTAATGTGTGCAGGTACAAAGAACACCAACTGGCAGTGACAGATCAGACATTTTAAGAGTGGATAACAAAATCACTCTTACATGTCTTTGCTAAGATTTTTTGGTTTTCATGGGAGGTGGAGAAAGGACAAGACAAATTCTGTGGTAATATAAATCAACCGACTTGTACGCAGAAATGCTATTCTCCCATTGATTTTGTTTACAAAACTATAATTTAGTATTGTCGGTTGAAAAACATATCTAAGATGCTTGGAAGTCTGTCAGACAAGTGACACTTGTCCTGTTGCAAAGTTGAACCTGTTAAATTCTTAATTTATGTTAAACAGTTTTGACATGGCAACAAAACATTGTGAAGTTTTAACCCCAATGGTATCAGGAAGCACTTTTTGGAATTCCTTGCATAGAAAACAGTTCTGCAGCAATATTTAAAAAGGCTAAGGTGCATTAATACATTTCATTCAAATGTTTTTATATCCTTTCAATGGAACTGAAGAGAGGCTTTTACAAAATAGTAACACAAAATGCTGTCATTCGCACTGAAGGTTAATTGTAGGCAATACAGAGTAAGTTATTCTTTTGAAAGGACATCTCGCCGTTTCTCTGTCCATACATGCTGCTATATTTTATTTTAATTAGAGAATAATATATACTTTAATTATCCTGATGTATAAGCAAAAAAATAAGTAAACTTCATCCACTAAGGCAAACATGTTTACCAGATTGATCAAACAAAGTTATCACAATATTATCAGGGCATGTAATGCTTCAACAATCTTTAGTATATTTCTGGCACTTTTTTTGAAGTTCACTGTTTAACATAATTCCTGGTTCATAAGTGAGAAAAATGAGCACTGCACATAACTTTAGTTCTTGAGACAGTGCCATACAGTGGTTCAACTGCTTTTTGTACATAATTGAAAGTACTTTTCAAGTAAAGCATGCAGAATATTTAATATATTAAAATTCTTGTTATTCATATATTGAAATAATTAATCCACAATAACCTCCACAAAAGCTAAGGTTTGCAGAAAGATCCAGGTATGTTTATTGGAGCGCATACCCTTTGAAAACACAGTAGTGCTTTTTATTACATCAGAAACTATAAAATTCTTAAAAAAAAAATGCCTCAATGTGATTACATATGATATAACTGTGATGGTCATTTTTCTCTACAAGATCAGAAACAGTTAGTCACACTCAGTAAATCAAAACAAATTATTTGGTCTCGATATAAAAATGATGCACTATGGTGAAAACCTCAAAAGTTTTGAAAATCTGCAAGCAGCAAAAGAAATGTTCCTTAATTTTACCAAAAACCTCGTATGTTGCAGCTGGCAAGTAGAGTATAACAGTGTAAACCTTTTGTAGATTATAAAGGTTATAGTTGTTTACATTCAGAAATAATTCATTCCCACTCCTTTAAAGACTTAAAGTATCAGTATTGAATATCCACAATGTTCTTCTTTGTTGAATGTTTGATTCTAACTTGGTGTCAGATCACAATTTTAAAATATAAGCATTAATAATCATTAACAGAAATCCAAATATTACTCCAAAAATGGCTCCTCCAACTTGATATTGAGACATCATGCAATTTGTTATCTGGAAGATTCCAATAACTGCTCCTAGGATAATCCCTGGCATCAGGTTCTTCCATTTTTTGATCTCTCCTAAAAGGCCTTCTGCATTGTTTGCTTCTTCTTTGTTTTTCTGTTTCTCTAAATCCTTAATTATTGAAGAACTGAACTTCAATTTTACTGGGCACGGGCATACATTTCTGGACACTTTTAAGATTAAACAGCACAGTTTTCGACCCAGAAAACTGAAGATGAAACTGATAGGAACAGAAATAATGAAGAATCCAGCCCACCAACACACCCACCAGCCATACCAAAAACCCAGCCAGTGGCCACAATTCTCTTCTACAGTGGCTCCGCCTTCAACTATGGGCGTTGGAGATGTCTTCTGGTTAGGAGTCGTCAAAAATGCAGGCTCAGTTTCTGCGGCCATTATTTCTGCAAGCCGCATTTAAGACATCATCTGCATAAAATTTACAGAAAAAAGTTTCAATAAATCTTTCTGCTACAGGCTGAGGACTCCTTACAAATATGGATTCTCTGCAAATGGTGATGGATGAAAGAAGCCGCTGATTCAGAGGCAAAGCTCCTGAAAAATTATTTACTAACACATCACAAGAAATATTAGACACTGGCTGAATCAACTCTGAATTTTGTCACTACTGGGATACAATAAGCATTGATGAGGTGCATTCCCTGTTAGTTTTCACATATTACTTTCATTTAAGTTTAGTGACCCATTCAGAAAAATATTAGTGATTCCTGAGAGAGGTACGCTACCCTTAGAATTAGAAACGTAGGAACAGAAGTAGGTCATTTCGCCCCTTGAGCTGGTACAGATATGCAAAAGATATCATAGATAGTAGGAACTGCAGATGCTGGAGAATCCGAGACAACAAGGTGCAGGGCTGGATGAACACAGCAGGCCAAGCAGCATCATAGGAGCAAAAAGGCTGACGTTTCGGGCCTAGACCAAGGGGGAGGGGAAGGGGGTTCTGAAATAAATAGGGAGAGAGTGGGAGGTGGATAGAAGATGGATAGAGGAGAGGATAGGTGGAGAGGAAACAAACAGGTTGAAGAGGCGGGGATGGAGCCAGTAAAGGTGAGTGTAGGTGGGGAGTTAGGGAGGGGATAGGTCAGTCCAGGGAGGACGGACAGGTCAAGGGTGCGGGATGAGGTTAGTCAGTAGGAGATGGGGGTGCAGCTTGAGGTGGGAGGAGGGGATAGGTGGGAGGAAGAACAGGTTAGGGAGGCGGGGATGAGCTGGACTGGTTTTGGGATGCGGTAGGGGGAGGGGAGATTTTGAAGCTTGTGAAATCCACATTGATACCATTGGGCTGCAGGGTTCCCAAGCGGAATATGAGTTGCTGTTCCTGCAACCTTCGGGTGGCATCGTTGTGGCACTGCAGGAGGCCCAGGATGGACATGTCGTCTGAGGAATGGGAGGGGGAGTTGAAATGGTTCGCGACTGGGAGGTGCAGTTGTTTATTGTGAACCGAGCGTAGGTGTTCTGCAAAGCGGTCCCCGAGCCTCCGCTTGGTTTCCCCAATGTAGAGGAAGCCACACCGGGTACAGCGGATGCAGTGTACCACATTGGCAGATGTGCAGGTGAACATCTGCTTGATGTGGAAAGTCTTCTTGGGGCCTGGGATGGGGGTGAGGGAGGAGGTATGGGGGCAGGTGTAGCACTTCCTGCGGTTGCAGGGAAAAGTGCCGGGTGTGGTGGGGCTGGAGGGGAGTGTGGAGCGGACAAGGGAGTCACGGAGAGAGTGGGCCCTCCGGAAAGCAGATAGGGGTGGGGAGGGAAAGACGTCTTTGGTGGTGCGGTCGGATTGCAGATGGCGGAAGTGTCGGTGGATGATGCGTTGGATCTGGAGGTTGGTGGAGTGGTACGTGAGGATGAGGGGGATTCTTTTTTGGTTCTTATTGCGTGGACGGGGTGTGAGGGATGAGTTGTGGGAGATGTGGGAGACACGGTTGAGGGCGTTCTCGACCACTGAGGGGGGGAAGTTACGGTCCTTGAAAAACAAGGACAACTGAGATGTACAGGAGTGGAATGCCCCATCCTGGGAGCAGATGCGGCGGAGGCGAAGGAATTGGGAATAGGGGATAGCATTTTTGCAGGAAGGTGGGTGGGAGGAGGAGTATTCCAGGTAGCTGTGGGAGTCGGTGGGCTTGAAATGAATATCGGTTTCTAGGTGGTTGCCCGAGATGGAGACAGAGAGGTCCAGGAAGGGGAGAGAGGTATTAGAGATGGTCCAGGTAAACTTAAGGTTGGGATGGAAGGTGTTGGTGAAGTGGATGAACTGTTCGAGTGCTTCCTCTACATCGGGGAAACCAAGTGGAGGCTCGGGGACCACTTTGCAGAACACCTACGCTCGGTTCGCAATAAACAACTGCACCTTCCAGTTGCGAACCATTTCAACTCCCCCTCCCATTCCTCAGACAACATGTCCATCCTGGGCCTCCTGCAGTGCCACAACGATGCCACCCGAAGGTTGCAGGAACAGCAACTCATATTCCGCTTGGGAACCCTGCAGCCCAATGGTATCAATGTGGATTTCACAAGCTTCAAAATCTCCCCTCCCCCTACCGCACCCCAAAACCAGTCCAGCTCGTCCCCGCCTCCCTAACCTGTTCTTCCTCCCACCTATCCCCTCCTCCCACCTCAAGCCGCATCCCCATCTCCTACCGACTAACCTCATCCCGCACCCTTGACCTGTCCGTCCTCCCTGGACTGATCTATCCCCTCCCTAACTCCCCACCTACACTCACCTTTACTGGCTCCATCCCTGCCTCTTCGACCTGTTTGTTTCCTCTCCACCTATCCTCTCCTCTATCCATCTTCTATCCACCTCCCACTCTCTCCCTATCTATTTCAGAACCCCCTTCCCCTCCCCCTTTTCTGATGAAGGGTCTAGGCCCGAAACGTCAGCCTTTTTGCTCCTATGATGCTGCTTGGCCTGCTGTGTTCATCCAGCCCTGCACCTTGTTGCAAAGATATCATGACTGATCTGTGACCCAAATCCATATACCCGCCATATACCCACCCGTTCTGAGGAAGGGTCACCGGACCTGAAACGTTAACTCTGTTTTTTCCTTCACAGATGCTGCCAGACCTCTGAGCTTTTCCAGCAACTTTGTTTTTGTTACATATACCCGCCATTGTTCAATATTCCTTAATAGCTTTGGTTCACAAAAATCTGTCAATAAATAGTAGATTCAAAATTAACAACTGACCTTGGATCAACTGCCAATTAAAGAGGGGAGCTTCAAATTCTACTATTGAGCTCTTGTGTTACAGTGGGAGTATCCCTACCTCTGAGCCAGAAGGCTGGGTTCAAGACCCAAAAGCTCCAGAAGTGTGTCATAATACCTCTGAACAGGTTAATTAGGAAAATATCAAATTCTACTACTCTTTGTGTTCGATGCAGTTTCGTATCTGCAATATTGCTCTCTGCCGTCTCCCTGGAAAAGAGGCCTGAACTGTACCCATTTACCACCACACTCCTCTGCCTGGCTGAGATCGTCCTCATTTTGAACAACTCATTTTTCCCCTCTCACTTTCTTCAGATCACAGGTATGGCTTTGTACCTGCATGGGCCCCAGTTATACATGCCTCTTTGTAGTGTTCATGGAACATTCCTTGTTCCAATCCTACTCAGGTCCCTCCCCACAATTCTTTGTCGATGACATCATTTGTGCTGCTTCCCTCTCTCACCCAGAATTGAACAAATTTAATCAATTTTGCTTTGAATTTCTATCCTGCTTTCACCTTCAGCTGGACCATCTCTGACTCTTCCCTTCCTTTCCTCAGCATCTGCTTCCATTTCTGGGGATAGGCTAGCTATTGATATCCATTCCAAACCCACAGACTTCCATAGTTATCTGGACTATACATCCTCATATCCTGCTTCCTGTAAGGACTCCATTCTGTTTTCCTAGTTTCTCTGTCCCTGTTGCATCTACACTGATGAGGCCACCTTCCACAGAGGGCCTCAGAAATGTCTACTTTCTTCCTCAACCAAAGACTACCCAACTCCATAGATAACATTGCCCTTAGCTGCATCCGGCCCTTTACCCGGAGTTCTGCTCTCACTCCCTCTCTTTCCTCCCCCAACGCCGACAATGGCCCTCTTGTCCTCACTTTCCACCCCACCAGCATCCAGGTCCAAAATATCATAAGCTGAAATTTTTGCCACCTCCACCAGGATGACACCTTTCAATGCCCCCACTCCCTGTCTTCAGCATATACACCACTTCAGTTACCATCCAGTTCTGAAGGGTTCCTGAACATGAAATGTTCGCTCTACTTCCTCTCCGCAACTGCTGTCAGACCTGCTTAGTTTCTCCAGCAATTTCTGTTTTTGTTTCAGATTTCCAGCATCCACAGCTCTTTGATTTATTGCAATATTGAAATCACTGGTTCTAATTTTAAGACGTTCTCTAGTTCTAGACTCTCCAACCAACGAAAATAATTTCTCTTTACCTACTCTATTAGTTCCTTCAATTACCTTGAAAACTTTGAGCAAATTACCCTGAAGCCTAGTAAATTTCAGGACAACCCTAGTTTGTGTAATCTCGCCACCTAATGCGTCCAAGTATCATTGTGGTAAATCCTCACTGTAGTCCCTTCAAGACAATTATTTGCTATCCAACCAAGACGAGAAGGTGAGAACTGCTCAGTATAGTTTAACTCTGATTTTTATACCTATAATGTGACTTCTAGAGGATGAGGATACAAAGGCCAACATTCTATTGTCTTTTTCATTACATTCTGTACACTCATCACATTTGAACGATCCAAGTATCTGAAACCAAAGTATTTCCATTGTTTCTAGATTTTCCCCACTTAGAAAGTAGCCTGTTCCATCCTTTTCAAGGCCAAAGAGCTCACATTTGACTACATCGAAATCCATTTGCCATTGTTTTTCTCTATTCACTTAAGCTTTCAAAATCAATTTTCAATTTTGTGCTTTGCTATGCTGCTTACAGTTTCCTTATTTTTGTGTAATTAGAATGCATGGTTATTGCGGCAGCAGAGTGGAACGAATTGGATAGCTCTCTCAGATAACCACAATGAGCTGAATGGCATGTTTTGGTGCTGAAAATTCTAAAATAAGCACACCACATGAAATCAATGTGACTATCTTGAGGTAACTGGGAGAGGGAATGAAACAAGTTTATCTCAATCAGTGATAACAAACAATTCGCTCACATTTCCAAAATTAGGGCACTTATTACACAATAATCACCAAATCCTCTTTCTAAAGTAAACAATTACAGACTGAAAATGCATTCCCCCTTTCTCTTGAAGACAGTCGCTTGTTCTGGATACGATTCCACAGATAATGACAACCTAGGTACTTCACAGAGTATCCATTTTTAAATATACAAGTGTGGTGAATTCAGACAAGCCAACTCACCAACAAGCGCATTACAACCAAACTCAATATTAGCCAG